AGCTGTGCAGTAAAGCTGAAGAAAGTCTGGATCATTTGTTCTTCTCTTGTAGTTTCTCCCAAGGGGTCTGGTCTGGTATACTAAAATAGCTTAATATTGACACTCTGAAAGTCAGCTGGCAATACTTTTTGGGGTGTTGGATGAAATGGTTAGATGCCAAATTATTAATCATTCCTTGTATTGTTGTATGGTTCCTTTGGATGTGCAAGAACCCGTTTAAATATGAAAACAACAAACCAAAGGAGATGGATGTGGTGCTGAACTGTACTTCTTATTTGCAAAAGATAATAAAATTTCATAATTTTCCCAATATTTTCCTGAATTGGGTGTCCAGTGTGCAGAAGCTAAAAGTGCCTACTTTAGTTCTCTGGAACCCACCTCCTGAAAAGTGGTTGAAAGCCAATACAGATGGAAGCTTTTGTAAGGAGGCTGTTGGTGTGGGTGGAATCTTTAGGAACTCTCTAGGGAAGTGCATGTTATACTTTTCCTCTCCAACTTGGGCATTTGATGCACTAGAAACTGAAATGATTGCTATTTATTGGGCTATCTACCTTGTCAAGCATTGCAACATCATAAATTTGATAGTTGAGTCAGATTCCTTCAGTTGTATTAGATTTATGAATCAGGAAGAGGCTGCTCCATGGAATGTTGCTAGGTGGACTACTAAGATCCAGAGCATGTTGAGCAATGTTGAAGTGATTTTCCAGCATATCTTAAGGGAAGGTAACACTCCTGCACACAGTTTGGCAGCTAAGGGGAAGGATAATGAAGAAATTGTTGTAGCGACTATACCTTCCACTCAGCTTGAAATTCTTCTTCATGGGGATAGTTTATCCATTCCTTATATTAATTGTAGGGGGTGATTTTTTATTTTAACACTAGGTCAGCTTTTGTGTCTATCATAGAGACTTCCCACATTTTTTTGTAACTTCATTGTATGATCTAGTTAGACAGATGGGAAGGGTTGTTTTGAGTGATCTTCTCACTCATTATGTAATCCAACTTTCACATTAACATGTATGGAGCTATAGCTTAGCTCTTTTCCTTTTAATATATATATATATATATATATGTATATATATATAAAATCAAGATGGTGGCAGTTGGACCTAGTTTTGCTCTGCTAGGGTTTGGGCAGTGATGGCTCTTCTTGGCGGCGCTGTGGAGCTGGGTGGAGGATCTTGTTTCTACTGCAAGAAGTTGTGCTAGATTAGAAGGCTGTTTGGCTTTTTACCGGGCAGCAAACTTTTGACTTTTTGTTACTATTCCCTTGCAAGCTTGAGAAGCTTTTTGTTTTATTGCTTTCCTAGCCTGGTGGTCTAATTATTTTGGCTTTTTGTTTGTTTCTCTGTTTTGACTTTTACTGGATTCTTGCTTCTACAGTTTTTGTGTAACCTTGGGGTTTCTGGTTTTTTATCTCTTGTTATTGAGTTGTCTCTCTAGCTGGTTTGATATATTTCTACTCTTGGGTTTTTATTTCTTGGTTTTTTATCAATGGCTTGTCTCATTGATGTTGAAACCAATGCCCAATGGACTATGGCCACCACTTTTGCTGATGTAGTTGGAAGTAGTTGGAAGTGGGGTTGAGGTCCCCAAATATTTTGAACATTTGGTATTTCCACAAAACCTACATGATGCTGCTGCAGGGAGAAGAGTTTGCCCTTATGTCAATCCCTTAGGGATGAAGGAAGGGGAACCTGCCATCCTTTTGTCTTCACAATAAATTCAAGATCTCAATGCATCTATCAAGTTTACTTTAATAGGAAAATTCCAGTATGGACATCCAAAGATGGATTTGGTAAGGAGGTATTTTGAATATTTAAAGCTTAAAGGCTCATGGAGGTTGGGCTTATTAGATGGCATACATCGGTTAATCACTTTATTCAATGAAGAAGACTATGCAAGAGTTTTTGCTAAACAGACATTGATCAGTAATGGAGTCCCTATGAAATTGATGAAGTGGACACCTGGGTTTGATCCTGCTAAGGAACCCCCATTGTTCCTATGTGGTTTAAATTCCCTAACCTGACCATTCAATACTATCACCAAAATGTGCTCTTTAGCGTCAGTAGAGTACTTGGTTGTCCTCTGAAAATTGATGATCCAACTTATAACATGGCAAGGTCTGCTGGTGCTAGAGTCCTTGTAGAAAGGGACATCACATTCCCAGATATTGAAAGGGTTTGGATTGGCACTAAATATGAAGGTTTTTGGTAGGAGATTGTCGTGGAGCAAAAACCAATATATTGTGAACATTGTAAAATGTTTGGCCATAACTTGGAGAAGTGTTATAGACTTCATCCTCCTTCTAAAAAGAAGACTTCAGTGGACAAGGCTACTGCTTCTAGACTTTTAGAGGCAGCAGAACAGGAAGAGGCAAGAAGGGTTGGGGATGTAGCTAAAGAATCTGAAACTATTGCTACTGTGACTAACCTGCCTAATGGTACAGTTGGTGTTCAGATGGAAAATATTTCCACTGACACTTGACTGATGGAAACTGCAATACCATATGACACCCTATTAAATATTAATCCAATTAGGATTGATGATCCTACAATCAACATTCTAACAGATGTTTTAACTTATGAATGGCAGGTTTTGAAAAGCAATAGGAAAAAGAAAGGCAAGTTGGATGTTAAACAGCCTTTGAATGGGCCCTCCACTGCTCTTGTGGAACACCATCCTAGGACTAGGGGAAAGGGGAGGGCCTTTTCTCAATGATAAAGTTTTTATGTAAGTTCTTATGTTGGAATATTAGGGGTATTGCTCACCCCTCCTCTCTTAAGAGATTAATACATCTTGTTAGAATTCAAGAAGTTTGGTGTTTTGCTATTTTGGAACCCATGGTCACTAAGCATTCCCATAAAATTCTCAAAAAAATTCCTAAATTCACCCATTTCGCTAATTCTAATAACAAGATTTGGCTCTTTGCTAGAGCTGAGCTTCAGTGGGTTGTTCTGCATAATCATTCCCAATTCATTCATATTCAATTATCTATTGGAGCTCAAATTGAATATTCCACTTTTATCTATGCCAGCAACATTGCTAATAATCAGACTACTTTATGGTCTGATTTAATACAAATTGAACAATCTGTTAACTCCTTATGGATTCTGGGAGGGGATTTGAATTGTGTTGCATCTCCTAGTGAAAGAAGAGGTGGAAGACCACCTTCATTATCAGCCATGAATAGATTCAATGACTTTCTTTCTGATGCTGCCTTATTTGATTTGGGTTACCAAGATCTAGATTTCACTTGGAGGAGGGGTTCCATGTGGGAAAGGCTGGATAGAATGTTAGGAAATTCTAGATGGTTTCAGACCTTCCCTTTTACTATTGTTTCTCATCTTGTCATGTCTGGCTCTGACCACAAGCCTCTTATTTGCTCTATTCAAAATGTTGAAAGTCCCAAAAGATCTCCTTTCAGATTTCAAAATATGTGGACTCTACAATCCCATTTTATTGGTGAAATTGCTAAGGTATGGAGCTTTACTGGTGAAGTTAATCCCTAGAACAATCTGTGGCAACTTCAGAAGAAGGTGGCAGCTCATCTGCAGCAGTGGAATTGGAACCCTTTTGGAAATATACATGAAAATCTTATTACTGCTCAAAATAAAGGTCTAAATATGGAAAAGGGATTTCAAAGGGGAGTAAACTCTGAAGTTTATCTTCACAAAGCTAATGAAGAACTCCTGATGCAAATTAATTATTCTGAAAGTTTTTTGAAGCTGAAGGTTGCAGTTACCAAATTCACTGAGGGAGATAGTAACTCTAGCTTTTATCGTGCATGTATTAACTTCAGAAGGAAAAATAATATGATTCTATATATCACTGACTCTACCGGCCTATGCTTATCTGATGCTGATGTTATTGCCCTGGATGCTATTAATTACTTTCAAAATCTTTTTAATGATCAGCCATCTTCTAGAACCCAGATTAATGCTGAGCTCTTGTCTGATTGTCAGGAATATGCCCATAGTTTGAAATTGAATAACATTCCTTTGGAAGGGGAAATTAAAGCTGCTCTGGACTCTATTGATGGCCAAAAGGTGGTTGGGTTTGATGGCTTTACTGCTAATTTTTATAAGACTACTTGGCATATCATCTGTGGTGAGTTTACTGTTGTAGTGCAAAATTTCTTCAAGGGAATTGATCCCCTTAGGTACTTCACTGCTTCCACTATAACTTTGATCCCCTAAAATTCAATCAGGAAAGGTTGGGGAGATTTTAGACCTATCAGCCTAACCAATGTTATATCTAAAGTAATCAGTAAGATCATTGTCAATAAGCTTCAACCTCATCTTCAACATCTTATCAGTAATAACCAGGTGGCTTTTGTGAAAGAAAGCAAATCACTGAAAACATTTTGCTAGCTCAAGAGTTGTTGTTGGATCTTTATAGAAAACGTAGAGGCAGTAATACCATTTTCAAATTGGACATCAAAAAGGCCTATGATACCATTAACTGGGATTTCATCCTGGATACTCTAACTGCTAGAGGTTTCTCTGGGGCTTTCATCAATCTGATCAGAAGATGGCTTAAATGCAATAACCATTCTATTTTAATCAATGGCAAGAGCCAAGGTTTCTTCACTGCTTCTAGGAGAATCAAACAAGGAGGCCCCTTGTCCCCCACAATCTTTATTCTTGCAATGGATTATCTATCAAGGACTCTAAATCAAATGTTTGTCTCTTCTCCTTATTTGGCCTATAGCACATATCAAATATTGGTGTGAGTCACCTGTAGTCACCTGTCCTATGCAGATTGTCCTATGCAGATGATGTTATTATTTTCTCTAAGGCTATAAAGACTGTTGTGAAGACCCTTTATCAAGGATTCAAATACTTCCAAAAGACATCAGGTATGAGCCTTAACAAACTAAAATGTCAAATTTTTACCATCTCACATACTCTTCTACAGATTAAGCATTGGATTGCCCAGTACACTGGTTTTAGCCTGGCCTCTTTACCAATCAATTATCTTGGAGTTCAGTTAATTAAAGGCAGAACCAAGCAAACTAAATTTACTGAGGTTATTGATCGTATTAAGAAATAGCTGCAATGTTGGACCAATTCCTTCCTCTCCAATGGAGGAAGGATCACTCTCCTCAAAAGCATCTTAACTGCCATCCCTTCTTATGTCCTTCAAATGTTCACAATGAAGAAAGGGACTCAAGTTCTGCTAGGTAGAATTTTTAATAAATTCCTGTGGGCTGGACAGAAGAAACAGTTTCATTGGTTATCTTGGCAAAAACTTTGTAAGCCTCTTCATGTTGGTGGTTTGGGCTTTAAAGATTTTCAGCAACTAAGTTTTATAAATCTTTGCAAACTTTGGATTAAGTTTAGGGCCCAAGACAGTCTATGGGCAATTTTTATGAAATGGAAGTACTGCAGGTCCCTTCATCCTAACCTGGCTAGAAAAAAACTTGGGGATTCCAGACTATGGACTAAATTGCTAGAGGTCATAACTCATGCTGAAGATCTATTTATTTGGGAGCTTGGAGAAGGGAAAGTCAATTTCTGGTTAGATAAATGGACATGGAAAGGGGAGAAACTGTCTTGCTCCAACTCCAACTCCAATTATCTGACAAAGGTGAAGGAGTATTGGTCTGATAATCAATGGAATTGCAACATCTGACTACCATCTTAAATGAAGAACAGATGCATTGGGTAAAGAATACCTCTATCAATCTTGATCAAAAAGATAAAATCATTACTAAACAAGCTCCCTCACAGAAGCTTTCAGCCTACATTTTTCAACAATTATACCAGTGGCAGCCTGTCTTGTGGGGGAAACCCATTTGGGGAAAGTGGTTAACACCTTCTATGTCTTTTTTCTACTGGAGGCTATGGCAATCTTTGTTACCTATTGATGATATTCTGAAAATAAAAGGGCTAAGGGGGCCTTCATGCTGCTACCTATGTATAGATGAAGAAGAGAGTTTAGACCATTTATTTTTCTCTAGCAATTTCTCTCAAAGAATTTGGTCTGAACTGTTAAATCAGCTTAACATTGATACTCTGAAAGTCAGCTGGGATAAATTCCTATGGTGTTGGAAGGACTGACAGGAAGCTAACTTGATAATCTTTCCTTTTATTGTTGTCTAGTTCATCTGGATGTGTAGAAACCAAGCTAAGTTTAACAACATCAAGCCTATGGACAAGGCTGTGGTGTTTAATTGTACTTCCTATATGCAGAAAATTATTAAATACCAAATGTTTCCCAATGTTTTCCATAATTGAGTACCTGATGAGAAAAGCATATTTGCAAGCCAACTTTGGTCCTTTGGATCCCTCCTTCATCAGGGTGGCTGAAGGTCAACACTGATGGTGGTTTTTCTAAGGAGTCTTCTGGTGTTGGAGATATTTTTAGAAACTCCCAATGGAAGTGCATTCTTGACTATTCTTCTCCATCTTGAGCTTATGATGCACTAGAAACTGAGATGATAGCCCTTTATTGGGCTATAAACCTTGCCCATCATTGCAACATCAGACAACATCAGAAATCTGAAGAAATCTGATTGTAGAATCTGATTCCAGCACTTGTATCAGGATACTTCAAAATGAAGAAGCTCCCTCTTGACATATTATCAGATGGATGAAAAAACTTGTGTTTATTAAACAATTTTAGAATTAAATTTCAACATATTCTTAGAGAAGGCAATAGCCCAGCACACTATTTGGCAGCAATGGGGAGGAATACAAAGCTGATTTCTGTAGGGACAGTACGTCCAGCACAACTAGCTTTTCTTTTACATGGAGATAATTTGTCCATTCCTTATATTCATTGTGTGAATGGTCTATATATATATATATATATATATATATATGTATAACATATATATATGTATATGTACAT